TGCCTGTTTCTAGACAAGTGTTACCCGGGGAGGCTTTATCCCATGGGAACCTCTCTGCAGTTTCTCGCATCCATTTCTTGACGACCTGTGCTCTGCAGAAGCACCAAAGCCGATAGGTGATGGATGTGAGGGTTATGGGCCTTTCTATGTCAGCGTTTTTGGGCAGGAGTGCCACATGGTGCGCCTGCCAGTGCTGTGGCGCCACTCCTGTGGTTTCAGCCAAGTTCAGGACTTGGGTGAGCTGCTCATAGGCCGGTCCAGGGAGGTTTTTGAGGGCAGCATAGGTGAGCCCATCAAGACCTCCTGCCTTGTCGGTGACATTCTTGAGGATGGCCTCGAGCACCTCTGCTGTTATTTTGAACAGCGGGGAGGCTTTTGCTGCATCCAGCAGGGTCTGGCCAATCGGGGGGGAACATTCTACCTCTCCCCAAATTGCGACCCACTGCTTCCTCCTGGCTCCTGGGCGCTCTTCGCCTGGGAGGTTTTGGAAGGGCCGATCTAGGACTCTCTCACTCTTCTTGAGAGAACTATAGAGAGGTCTCATCCCTTTCGCTAATCCCGCTTGGAGCCAGTCCTTGTACTGGGCCTGCTGCTCCTTGGCTCTCTGCATCTGGAGGGCCGCCTCCTTGTGCCTGGCAACAACACTCAAAGACCGCCACTGTGGTGCTGTTGCTGCACATTGCTGGTACAGTTCAGTGAGGAAGGCAGTACCTTCAGCAATGTCTTGACAGGCTTGGAGGGTGCCTAGGTCCGGTAGGTGCTGCTGGGAAGCGGGCACTTCCTCCAGGATTCTGGCCATTCGTGCCCACCAGCCCACTTCAGAGCCTTTGGGGGCAGTGGAAGGTCGCTGCAAGACTAAGGGTCCCCATTGGGCCTGCACACACCAACCTCTGCCAGTCCTCGGTGCTTCGTGGCAGTGCTCCAGGCTGGCCGCCCAGGTCGCCAGCTGCCAGGTGCTCTGGTCCTCTTGGGCACAGGTCCTGTCCATTATGGCGAAATGGGAGGGTTGGACCTCTTGCCATTCTTGGTTTTTGAGGTCTGCTGTGAGTTTCGGGAACTGGGGAAGCTTCCAGGACTTCCATTCGCTGGCACCGTCCTTGACTTTGAGGTGCAAGGCTGCATGTGGTTTCCACGGGACTGCCCAGGTCACAGACAGATCCACCAGGGCTTCCAGGCTCCTACTCACAACCCCAAAGTCCAGTTCCGCCCCATGGTTGCATGTAGCCTCTCCAGTGGCTACCATCCTCCCTCTCATCACCTGAATCAGTGCTGTGTCCTGAACTTCGGTCGGGTCCAGGTTCCAATCTCCCAGGATGATCCAGGGTTCCGGGAGGGTTCTTACGAAAGCCACCAGAGAGGATAGCATTTCTGTATTGGTGGGACCATTTAGGCCTTCCGTGTCCCTCAGGTAGAGGGACACAATCGTGTAGTCCCACCGTCTTTGTCTCAGACCCACAGCTGTGTAGCCTGCCCCTTTGCATTGGTAGGTGGCTTTTTGCCACACTCCGCTGTTTTTGGGAAAGGCACAAGCAGTGCCCCCCAGCCTTGTGCCCTTGTCCGACAGGGAGGCCGGCTCAGCATAGAGATCCCATCCGAGGGATTGCAGTGTGGCTCTCCTGCCATGCAGCAGTTCCGGTGTGAGGTGGGTTTCCTGCAGACACACCACCTTGGCTTTGGAGGAGGTCACCCACTCCAGTGCCCCGTTGTTGAAACTGGTGACATTGGCGCTCATGATACTTAGATACTGGTCAGGCAAGGCGGAAGGTTTAACCTTCTCATGGCTGGGCTCTTCTGAGTCGGTGCCCTCGCCGTGGGTAGGGTCTTCCTCTCGTTCCTGCTGACCCAGCACCTGTTCCGGTGTTAGGGACTCTTCCTTCTTTGGGAGCTCAGAGGCTATCACCTCCTTTGCTTGTTGAATGGCTTTCCCGGTGACATCCTCTCCTTGCTCTAGGGCATGCAGGACCATCCTGCACCAACCCCAGGCCAGGGAGTCCTCCGCCATCACCTCCTCTTGGGCTTCGATGAAGCTTAAAAGGGTGGCTTCCTTCGCCTGAAAGGGGCTCGCTTGATCTTCCAGGAGGTTGACCACCTCCTGCCATGTCATCGCCGAACCCAAATCATCTGGGCTGCCGAGGGAAGGTATCACCTTCTGGGCTTCATCATTGCATTGTGGCGGGGAGGCGCCTTGGGTAACCAGAGGGTGCCCATCAGGGTTCACCTCCCACGATGACTTCATTTGTTCGCCTTCTGCTGGTGCCTCATCATCTGTAAGGTCCAGCTTGAAAAACTTTGGCCCTGTGATCGGAACGCTTTCTGGCGACTCCTTTCCAGGCCGACAAAAGTGGCTGGGCTTCTGCCAGCCTTGTTCACAACCACTGCTATCTGCAGTAAGTTGTTTCCCCAAGGCCTCCCTCAATCTTTTCCCATGTAGATTGATGTGAGCACCTCGCTTGTAATATTCAGCACACGCAACTAGGAACTGCTGAGCAGTTCGCAGCATGTGTTCCAGCCCTGGGCTGGGGTCGCACATTGGCTCTGTGGGGCCCTTGCTTTGGGGCTCCAGGCCCCACACGCCGAGTCCCCAGGCCACCGGGCCAAACCCCGGCGGGGCATTGGCATTTCCGGGAGGCATCCCCTCCTGGGTTTGCTCCTCAAGGCCCGGAGGGGTGGGGCCCTCCTGTGTGCGACGCCTCTTTGCTTCTCTCTCCGCTTTGATTTCATGGAGCTTCTTCTCTTGCTCCTCGTTGAGGCTTACCCCCAGTTCATGGAGGATGCTGTCGACTAAGGAGTTGCCAGTTAGGAGGGGGGGGGGTAAACCATTTTGGGGGTTTGGCGGGGGTTTGAGCCCAGACCCAGGATTGCATGCTTTTCGGATTGTAAAACAGCAAAACACGTCCGGGCCCAGGATTCGGGTTATTGTGAAACCGCGAAACAACGTTGTGTGGAAACGTATCTGCCTGCAAGCTTTGCGAAATTTGAGACGCATGATTCTTGAAATGCACATGTATAAACATGCTTTTTTGAATTTGCGAAGTGTGTAGGGAGCGTCGCGTGCCTGCATGATGTAGTCGTTTGGCTCAAAATGCCGGGGTTCGTGCTGTACTTGTTCAGCACCACTCGTGTTGGCAGATCGCACAGAGACGTGCGAATACATGGGGCCATTGTGACAGATGGTTGCGAGTTGCTTTCCGAGGAAGCTTGCCGAAGTGGTGCTTGGCTAGATTCCTGGCTGCAGCACGATTTCAGTGATGCACAGTCGAGTAAGACTCCGCGGCAGACCAAAACGGAGTATGTGCAGTGGAATGTTTTGTCTGCGTGCACGTTCAATGAGCAGTTGACTCTGCTGGTGCAACACTTCAAAGGAAATCAAATTCAGCCCTTTTGCACACTGAGCCTGCTCGGCCAAACGTTGTTCCGCGAAGCCGAGTTGCGTGCTGTGGGAGACAGTGACCAGACACTGTTCACAGCCCAGCTTCGGAAGCAGGGGCGCCTGGTGCGAATGCCGAGGGCCTATTTAACCACGGTCTTTCGCAAAGAAATTGTGAGGCATGTCATCAGTCCTGCTTCCCTGAGCCGTTCTCTGCACGTGGAGCCTGTTGCCCCCCAGGCGGCCGGGCTTGGTCCTGGCGCAGGCCAGGTTCCCGCCCTTGCCGCTGTGGGGGGCCCAGGCGGTGCTGAGCCGGCTGAGTCAGCCGAGCCTGGCCCTGAGCCACCTGCGCCCGTAGAGCAAGTTGAGCAACTTCCGGGTAGGACCAGCCTGCAAGAGATCCTGCTTGCTCAGCTGGGGTACAGGCTGTCCAGCACGGAGGACATGGATGAGATCCTCCAGTTGTCTCGCAGAATTCTGTTCGCGGAGATGGATGACATACCCGAAGCAAAGGTAGCAACGCCGCACAAAGCCACCCTGCGTCGATTCCAGCTGCGACTTGACATGCTGCATAGTCTGTCGCAGCGGTTCGTCAACGAGCCAGGGTGTAGCAGTGTGCGGCGTGCCAGGTACCTGTCGGCAGATGCATCGCCGCAGGGAGGGCACGACTACCTGTGCATCCTGGAGGAGATTGCGTCGCGCCCCAGCAGCTGGGTGCCGGATGCTGAGGAAGGGCAGTTTAATCCCTTCAAGGGCTTCGATCATTGCGTGCGTGCCTTGCCCTGCCAGACACTGGCACGAGGCCAGACGAAGGTGCCCATGAAAGTGGCCTGCCTGTTGAATTCCATCCTGATGGAACACGGCGTGGACAAGTTGCAGCACTACCGGCAGGAAGTCCGGGGCTGGGTGTCTGACCAAGGCACGGAGCGGGCCATCTCCAAGTATCCCCTAAGAGATGGCCTTGCTGTGCTCGGGAAGCCGCTGCGCCTGGACATGGAAGGACATGACTTGCCCGCAGACGTTGTGGGTCGCGGGGGTGAGGCCTCGCGGCCCTTCTTTCACTCGTCCCTGGACGTTTCTGGCCTGATGCACGTAGTCTACAATGCCCTGGAAGCAGCTGTGACCGGACAGAGGCACTGGCCAAAGTTCCAGAAACAGTTGCGGGCAATTTGCAAGCTGTGCGGAGAAAAGAGCTACCAAGAGGTGGTGGCCAACCAAATGCTCCGCGCAGCAGGTGCATCGGCCCTTGACATCCAGACGTTGTGTGCCTTCAATGCCAAGCATCTGGACTGGCGCTGGGAGACCTTGGAGACAGTTTTGGCTCAGTGGTCCCCTCTGAGACCGGTGCTGCAGCAGTATTTCAAGGCGGACATGCTTGAGGCCACAGATTCCGGCTTGGCGCTTTTGGTGTCCCAAGCTCTGCAGAGCCCGTGGCACGGACTCATGCTTGAATGGTTGCGTGGCCTGACAGAGGCAGTGGGCAAGGAAACACGATGGATGCCACGAGGCCGTGCTCGTCGGCACCGGGAGGAGGTGGAAGCGTAGACACCAGATGCTTGGAGCAACTGGTGCGGTCACCTGCCCTTGGAAAGGCAAGCGGTTGCCATCCTTTGCTTTGGGCCACCGTGAAGCCATGACGCGTTCTCTGGACCTCGCCGGCAGCAGTGAGTACCACAGAGCGTTGCTGAATGCAAGGCCGGAAGATGCGGCGGCAATTGCAGACATGGATGTGGTGGTTAAACGGGCACTCGCCCACGCCCTTCACGACAAGCTTGCTTATTTGGAGGCCTTGCCTTACAAGCTCGCGGGTGCTTTTGGTGAGTACTGTGGCTCTTCCTTGCAGAGAGCCAAGAAGTGTGTGCGGGAATGTCTGCAAGAGTTCGAAGAGGCTGGCCGGGCAGAACTGCACCCCACCACATTGGAGTTGTTGACGGGAAGAAGCCCAGTGGGGCAACAGCTACGTGCTTTTGCGAAGGACCCCGAGCGGTCACTCCACAAGTACCCCGATGCTTTTGTGGCCATCCAGGAATTGAGCCTGGTGCCACTGGTCGAGCGACGAATCGAGGGGGAGCACGCGCAGGTTAAGCTTGCGGCCCAGCGTGGCTTCAGATGGGCCGGGCCGGCCATGGTTTGTGCGCGGAAGCGCAGACATCAGGTGCTGGCTATGCTGGAGAATCCCTCGCTGCTGCAATGGGTCTGTCAAAACTGGAGGTCCCGGGACATTTTCCAGAGAGTTCTGGCCCACAAGTGCCTGCCGACAACGGTCAATCTCATGGGCCGGTCCGAGAGATATGCTCGCGTGTATGGGTACGCGGTGGATGACCACTTCAGAGATGTTGAGAAGATGCAGCAGGCAGCCCGCGGCCGGGCTGCCGAGCTGAAGGCTTTACACCCTCCTCCGCAAGCAGCCTCCCACGACAGCAAGCAGATTGTAGGGTTCTTGAAGGCGCATCTGCGCCCAGGCAGCATCTGCAGCATGCCTGCAGCCATGCTGCGAGCATGTGACCCTGGCCGTGGCCCTCACCCACAGCTCTGCGCGCTTAGCACAGCAGACATCGCCCGAGCCTTCTCTGCCGACCAGGGGGAGCTCTCGGTCCGTGATTGCCGGGATCATTTGTTCTTCTCTGTCGTGGACCCGAGACCAGAGGACAAATTTCAGATGCAGGCCTCAGCCGCAGCGAGTCGGCCCAGGACACAGTTGAGCGTTGACATGCTGCCGTGGACCGAGTGGGCCTCTGACAATTCCATGTGTGCTTCCACTCGCACCGCTCGCGCTGAACCGAAGACATTGGACGCGGCTGCGTTCTGCACTCCCGATTCCTTCGTGGACGTGGCGAACCAATGTTTGGTGTGGCAGTGTCTGCCAGTGGGTCTGCATGTGGAGCTTCCTGCTCTGGAAGCTGCAGTAACAGATGCCCCGCTTCCACTTCCCTTCTTCGTGGACGACGAGGACATGTTGCAGGATCTGCTGAATGCGGAGCCCTCTTCATCCTCCAGGCAGAGGAATACAGACGAGGATGCCATTGTGCCTCGGGCTGAGGCGCAGGTGTCGGTGTCCTGCGCAAAGCCATTGAACAGAGATGAAAAGGCTCTTCTGGCAGCTTTGCTGGAGCAAGGGGCCGTGGGAGACCACGGCTGTGATGCATTGTCGCTGCACACATACAATGCCCAGGCTGCAGGGGCCCTGCGTGAAGCCGGTTACGTGAGCACGTGGGAGGGTGATTTTGGGGAACTGGTGCTTGCGGTGACTGAGACGGGGCGTGTCTCGCCACAATTGGATCTGAGTAGCCCCTTGCGTTTGCGAGACATGCCCAGCGAAGGTCACTCTGGGTTCCGAACAGGCCAGTGCAAGCTGGAATGGCTGCGACTGCTGCTGCAACACCAGTGGCAGTATGACGAGCAGTGTCCAGAGTGGCATGACAAAGACGCAGCTCTGCTGCTGCCCCAGAATGCCTTGAGCCGGCCAGAGGCATATCTAAAATGCATGCTGTGCCTCAGTGTGGTCTGGAACAAGCCAGGAGCACCTGCAAGGATTCTACATCAGGCCCCCGAGCTTTACTACAAGTACTTGCTGCACGAGCCCGACCTCAGTTTTTTGCAAGAGTGGGGCAAAGCAGACGTCATGGGCTGTAGCACAAATCGCCGACAGGGCCGGCAGCCGAAGAAGCGTGCAAAGGCAGGTGTCGGGGCCCTGACAGCTGCGGCTGCCTTGGCAGATAAGGAAGACTCGGACAGTGATGATGCCGGCCCGTTGCGAGGCCGCAGAGGGCTTCGGGAGGAGGCAGCGCTGCCTCTCCCGGACCGGCTGGTGCCCCCGCCGGTGCGTAGCCAGGTGCCTGGCGTGGACGTCACAATCTACTTTGACAACTATACGCACTCCAGTGGCAATCTTCGTGCGTTTGTGGAGTGCAAGCGGCATAAGAAGTGCCGCTTGTACGTGTTCGTGAATAAGCACGAAAGTAGATCGCATGCTGTCGCGTATTTGTTGGCGTGGCACCAGCTTGGAAGTCGTTTCGCTTCCGCTGCAACTCACATCGCTGAGAAGCCAAGCGGTGTTGAGGTCCACGCGCATCACTGGGCGCAGGTGCACGGAACACCCGTGTAACAGAAGAAAGAAAGTGGTGGAAAAATGGGTGTGTGTGCTTTGGGGCTTTTTTAGGGCGTTAGGGGAAAAAAGTTGGGTGTTTGCGGGACTGGGATTTTCGGGTTTAGACCCCCAAAGAGTAGGCTTTCCCTGAAGTACCCACGGACATGTTGTTTGTGCAAGAGTGTTTTGCTGTGACGGCGCATGTTGTTTTTGTGATTGGCCGCAGCTCCGCAACATTTCGGCCCGTGCTGTGCTTGCCTCCGTGCGTCGCCCGGGACGCGGCTTGCCGCCTTCCCACGACAACCAGCATAGCGGCCGCGGAACTACCCGCTTGCCCCGGCTGGTCCTCGCCTGCCGCGCTCGCCCTTGTGCAGCGCTTGCCGCGAGAAATCGCCTTCCGAGATCCGAGATGCCCGCGCCCAAGGCCGTGCCAGCACCGGCAACCCCGCCGGGAACCCAGCTGCTGGCCGAGGATGCGACCGGGGCAGCACCAGCAACCCCGCTGCCAGAGGCGCCGCAGGTGCCAGAGACAGAGCTGCTGGCCGAGCTGGCAAACGCAGCGGCTCCGGCCGAAAAGACAGAGGCTCCTACTGCGGATGTGGCTTCTGAGTCTTCGGAGCAGATTGAGCCAGCGCCCACGACACCGGCACTAAGTGAGCCTCGAGAGGGTGAGACGGAGAAAAAGGAAGCCGCTGTCCCGGAGAACAAGGGCGGGGACGGAGAGCGCAGCCCAAGCAAAAGTCCCTGCACGCGGAGGGCAGCCGAGGTGCTTCCCGAGGAATCATCCTCCAGCCCCGAAATGGAGCTCGTCGTCACAGAAGACGCGGCCCAGGCCATGGCAGCCGAGGAGAGGGCGCGAAATCTCAAGAAGACGCTGGCCGAGAAGAAAAAGGAGGCAGAGCACCGGGGCGAAGACGGCCAGGACGAGACCGACACCAAGGACGACCAGGCCCAGGGCTCCGAAGGTCACAAGCAGCGGCCTGCCCACCCTGCGGTTCCACCAAAGGGGCCGCCGCCGAAGCCAAGGGTGCAGAACAACACGAACACGGGGCAGGACCCGAAGGAGTCCCAGGACTTTGTGGAATGCAAGTTCTGCTGGAAAAAGGTGTCGCGGTGGGGCTTGGAAAACCACCAAGCTTCCAGCAACCATTGCAAATGGTACCAGGACCGTGCCGGGGCCAAGCCGGAGCCGCAGCGGCGCAGCCAGTACACGTGCGACGTCTGCGAGAAGGATTTAGGCGACGAGCGGGCGCTGCATCAGCACAAGAAGAGCGTGCACGGCATCGCCTATGATCATCGGAAGCGCAGCAGCCAGCCCAGCAACCTGCGCCTGCAATCAGTTGCTGGAAGCCGCCGCCGACGCCGCTTGGACTCCCGAAGCTCCTCCAGGCCTCGCTCGAGCAAGTCGGCTCGGGGACACCGGGGAAAGTCCGAGGCCCCAGAGAAGTCGATGTCTTCCAAGCAGCTGGCGGCATCTTTCATGGACAAGGCATTCACCTTGATCCAGGAGGCTCGGAAGAAGAGCCGCAGCCGCTCGCGAGGGCGCTCCGGAGACCGCCGACGCCGCTGAAGGGCACGAGGTCTCACAAGAAAGACCAGATCTTCCCAATAATGCGAAGACGGTGTGAAGTGCCACGACCAACCAGATTGCACGCATCTTTGGCAACTTCCGCGGACAAAAGAAGGAGTGAGCGTGTATGCACTGCGCAGACTCAATGTACTTGTGTCACCCAGGCGTGTGTTTCAACAGTGACATGCTAAAAACGTGATTTCTTGGTATGGAGACAGTTTTTGCATACACCGAGCCCCGACAGTGTGCCGCCCGTGTGCCGCCCGTGTGCCGCCAGTGTGCCGCCAGTGTGCCGCCAGTGTGCCGCCAGTGTGCCGCCAGTGTGCCGCCAGTGTGCCGCCCGTGTGCCGCCCGTGTGCCGCCCGTGTGCCGCCCGTGTGCCGCCCGTGTGCCGCCCGTGTGCCGCCCGTGTGCCGCCAGACATGCCGAAATCCGCCGTGCTTTGTTGTTGTGTGTGTGTTTTCGTTTGTGTTGTGTCCTTCTGGTGTTTTTCGTGTGCGCACCACAGGGGGCAGCCGGGGCAGCCCGGGGGGGGGGGGGGGGGGCGGGCGGCCGCACACCCCCACAAGCAGGAGAATACATGCAGGGGGCGGGCGGCCGCACACCAGGGTGTGCGGCCGCCCGCCCTGGCCGGAGGCGATTCTGGTAGATCGTCAAATTTTCAGTCCCGGAGTGCGGAGAGACACTCTTGAGCTAGCAAAAGGCAGAAAACAAACAAAGAGTAGCAGAAGAAGACAGGGTCACATTCACGAGGGGGCATGTGCATCACGACATGGGGCAGTGATGTTTGTCAGGCATTGCAGCAACATGTATGGCGTTATTTTTTGGGCTCAAGATTTCAGTCCGTGCTTTCCGGGGCCGCGACGAATCGCTTGCCCGAAAACGAAGGCCACGCTAGCAAGCAGCAGCGTTTGCCTAACTTTCCAGGCCGCGGCGTGCCGCTTGCCTGCCTGCAACAGCCCGGCCGCGGTGACCCTCCGCCTGCCGTGTGTTGACTTTCGCGGGATCAAGTTCGAGACCACCCAGAATGAGTAACAGCAAAGCCGAGGGCTTTGTGTCTCTGGTGCTTAGGCGCTGGGGCCACGTGCTACGATACTTGGTCGGCCGTTGCGAACTCTGGAGCCGTGTGTGGGTGTGGGCGGTTTTCGCGAGTGGGCACAGCAGAGCAGAAGCCCGTACGATGGCTCAGGGGCCTACGACACAGATCCGGCCTTGCAAGCGTTCTACACACGACTGGCTGACAAGAACGCGAAGGTGCTGGGCGTCAACATCGGGAAAGCTGATGGGGATGTCCTGCGAGTCAACCCAAAAGAACTTCCGGACTCGGAAATACTTGTGAGCGGGCCACCTTGTCAACCTTGGGCAGGAACGGGCCTGAGGCAAGGGGACATGGACGAAAGATCAGAAGTGTATGGCGCTGTGATAACGTGGATCTTGGAGATGGCCGGTCGGGGTTGTTTGGTGCTGTTCCTGGTCGAAAATTCACCCAACCTGTTGAGAACAACTTTCTTTCGGCAGCTCGTACAGGAGCTAGAAGTGGCGCTGCCACATTTTGCCTTGGACGTGAGTGTGCATGATTGCCACACACTGCTGCCAATGAGACGGGAACGCCTGTACTTGCGAGGGCTGCGACGGGACTGCCTCCCAGTGGCTGGGACAGTGCCCAGGCCTCTGGGGATGCTTGACATGCCTCACCCGATTTGCCTCTTCGAGATGCTCTGCGAGGGAGAGCCCAATACTGATCCCAGCAGCATGACCGAGAAGCGGCGGCAGAATTTGAAGAGGTACGAGGAGATGGTCAAGAAGGACCTGCTCCGAGGACATGCTGGCTGCGTCGCCTGTCTGGAGCTGGACAGGGATCCGGACAAAGAGTTCATGGGTCGGGTGACCTACGATGCCATTCCCAGCTTGAGAACCTCAGGGCCAGCGATCTTTATGTTCACCACAGACGACATGCATCTGAACTGGCAGCAGCAGTTCCTCCACCGGTATTTGACAGACGAGGAGCGGTTTGTTTTCCAGGGCCACCGTGCCACATATCACGATTACTTCAGCACCCTCACGGCCAGCCGACAAGCCGCAGGCAACGCATATTGCACACTGCAGTTGGCTGCAATGCTGCAACCCATGCTGATGCGTGCAGTGGTGAGCGGGGCGATGTCTGCAGAGCCACCACAACGGCTGAGCCGCAAGAGACAGGTGGAGATAGAGCTTCAGGGCATGCATGAGCAGACCTTTGCCCCCGGAACCCTCCTCGGGTCACCGACAAGACCCAAGAAGCGTTGCAGAAAGGCCGGGCCAGCCGAGCACGAGGAAACACTTGCTTTCCGTGGCCCCCTGACCCCGAACACGGACAACGTCATCGAGTTGGACTAATACAGTCTGGAACCGACGACTACTACAGTTTCATCGATTCTTAGCTTCCTGTTAGATTCGTAGAATAGGCTATGCAAGACAAGTATAATTCGTAATGAATGCGCAGAATCTGCCAATTCACACGACAGCGCACTGAGTGCTTGCACTGCTATGCTTTAGACAAAGACCACGTGACCTTCCAGAGTCTTGTGTTGTGTCCATGCGACTGCGAGGATCGAGGACTTTGCGGATTGTTCTGTGTGTGTAATATTTCGGCTCGAGGCAATAAGGCGGCGCGACACGAACTCCCGTGTAGCGCTGCGGTGCTTGTGGCCGGATTCCTCCTCCCTGCATCCCTTTGAGGTTTCCCTGTGTGGCCGCCCTTGGGCTTGCCACTTCCCTTCACACTTTGCGGGCGTGGCCACCCTTGGGCTTGCCACTTCCCTTGACACTTTGCGGGCGTGGCCGCCCTTGGGCTTGCCACTTCCTGGAAAGGCTTCCTCGCGCAGCGCTGGGCGACATCCGAGCCTGCAACTGCCTCCAAGATGAACTGCCAGAAGTGCGGAGATGAGTGCAGCATGGTCGAGTCTGTGGCGACAGGCAGAAATGCCATGAAAAGGATCTGCCTGCACTGCAACGCCACCGACAAGTCCATAAATCGCCGCTGCAAAAAACCGCTGAAGCCAGAGATGGAGACGGAGGAGAACAAGCGCCTGAGGCTCGCAGCAGAGGCGGAGAAGGGACGAGTGGCAAAACTCGATGCTGAGGAGAAGAAGCAGTGGTATCGAACGGAGAAAGCCAAGCGCCAAGCGAGCGAACGTTCCAAAAAGAGGACCTTCGGCGAAGGAGCCGTGGGCTCTGTGGAAGAGTCCCGGGTGCAGAAAGAAGGACAAGACGAGGTGGACGCGTTCGAGACCTTCGAGGTCTGGGCAGCCAGGCAGATGACTTTGGGTCGTTACAAAAGCGAGGAGGAGGCCAAAGACCAGTGGAAGCTGGAGCTGCAGAAGCCCGACGCCATCGTGAAGAGACGTCGTGGCCAGGACCTGCTGGCGTCTTTCAAAGGCCTGGAGGCCAGAAAGGGCCAAGAGCACCAGGTCGGCATCAACTTGAAGCAGCGTGCTGATCTGAGTGATGGTGCCGACGTGGAGGGCTTTGAGCAAGAGGCCGTGGCCAAGCTGCGCAAGGCCTCCTGGAAGGCGAACCTGCAGCACACGAAGAACTTGCATTCACAAGACAACGACATGGACATGGAGCCATTGCTAAACATAGCCGGGGACATCGAGAAGGCCAGGGCCGCCGAAGCAGAGCAGGACCTATGCCTTGGAACACGTTGTTTTCAAGAACGTGTCGGAGAGATCAGTCCGAACGATCAGCAACTGTCACGACCGTGCCAACGAACAGGTGGAGCTCATGCAGACAGAGCTCCGACAAATGATGGAAAATACCACCGACGAGGCCAAGAACGACGCGAAGCAGCAGGTGGCACTGGCTAGGACAAGCGTCGTCAAGGTTCGAGAGCTCATTGCCCAGCAAAAGGCGTGGCTGGGCAGCACATAGAAGCCAGAAAACATTGGATCTTGTAACAATCGCAGACCACAGATTGTATATTTTGTTCAGTGAAGCACACTCATGCCCTACAAGCACTCCCGCAGACATCAAATCTGAGGCTCTGGGAAGCGGACCTAGCCAAAGGAGAAGATGTGCTCGGAGCTGCGGACCTGGCCCAGAAGACCGCAGAGATGCCAGGTTGGGTGAGGGCGTGGCTCAGCGACAATGAGGACGTCAAGGAGATGAAGAACAAGGTGACTGACTTGCGGAAGTTCGTGGCCAAAATCAAGAAAGCCACGGACGCTGCCCAGAAGGAAGCCAAAAAGAATGCCAAGAAGCTTGCTAAGGGCAAAGCGGCACCGAAGTTCCAGAGCAAGTCCTGTGCTCAAGCCAGCAGTGCATCCGCGGCCCAAAGTAGTGCCCCTGACAGCAGCAAGGGTTGGATTTCCCACACCAGCCTCAAGATGGGAGATGGCATTGGTCAGGAGATGACAGAGCTTTTTGTCGCGGATAACATGACTGACGAGAATTGCTTGTGGAATGTGAAGGAAGACATTCTTTGCAAGAAGGATCTGCCGAGCGCAGCGGTGGTGATACCGGAGGCTCGAGGCACGGCAGCAAAAAACAGTATCGTGGCGTTGGACTACTACGACAGTCAGAAGAAGTGGGTCCAGGCCCAGGCCTCCAAAAGCAAGGACGATGAGATCATGAGTCACTATATGATCACCAAGGGCAGCGTTGCTCAGAAGGTAATGAGCATCATGGCAGGGCTGCTTCCAGAGATAAAGAATCTGGGCTTGCAGACGCCCGAATCCCCGGCGCTTCGCGACCTCCTAGCCCCCATGTTCCTGCATGCCCCTCCGGCAAGCTGGAAGTTTTACTCCAACTCCGAGTATGGGCTGCCTTGCTTGTACTTCGTCTTGGAAGGCACTCTGGCAATCACAGGGGTCAAAGCACCCGAGGAGATCAGCGACGAGGCAGACTCTATCTACGCAGCCTTGGAGGATATGACCAACAAGGAATGGAAGGCCATGTACAACACAGAGTCAGGCTGGACCACATTCCTGGTGCCTGGAAAGGCTTGCCTGATTCCGTCGGGGCACCTGTTCCAACTCACGTCCATGGAGGACAGAGCTATCGCCGTCAAGTTGATCCTGACCAGCGAGGAAGCTGCAAGAAAGGGAATCGAATTCCTGCGGCCCTGGACACGTGACATGGGCAAGGACCAGAACTCCAGGAAGATGTTGCAGTTTCTCGAGAAGAGCCTGGACATCGTCCCTTTGCCCGGGCAATGATGTGAATCGTTGGTCATAGCTTTGTTGTAGCGTGGCCCTGTTAGCAGCGGTCCACAGCTGCGGCCGACAGCTATGGAGTCAACGCTTCGGCGGAACTTCGGCGACAGGCTACAGCAAGCAGTGCCAGCTTTTCCTTTGCGAGTTCTCAGTTTGCAGCTCTCTCAAATTTGGAGAGCAAAGTGCCTTTTCCTTTCAACGAGCGCACGTGGTTTCGCCCAAGTCCTGGTGTTTTGGCTTCTGGGTTTGCTTCAGGGCCTTTCGAGGTTTCGTGAATAGGCAACGTAGACCAGGCAGTGTGAACCAGGTGCACTGATGCTCCCCGTGAGCTCTCACTGTTTGAACTGGTTGGCTGGGACAACATGCGTGCGTGAGGCTGTGCCACTTGGATTTTTGCGATGCAATGGCTTGCTCCGTCGTCATTGCGTGTTGACATATATGCCATACATATGTCATGTTCAGATCTTGCCGCAGCTCGAAGCCTGCACTTGCAAATTGCCGCCTCTCTCCCATTCCCCGCGGCCCCGCCTTTGCCCTCTAGACGATCATGGCTTTGTGGCTGTGGTTGCCAAAAGGGACCTTTGCATGGATTCACGACTGGAGGACTGTGTTGGATGTTTGTCTCATTTTGGCATCCCATGTGCAATGCGTAGGCTGTCTTTCACCTGGAACATGAGTCTTGAGCGCCAGGTGCTGGGTGAAACTGGCTTCTCCGACTTGGCTGACTTGTCCCGAGAAGCAAGTCCTGGAGTGGGCGAGGCCGCCGAGTTTAGAGGACACTACGGACACCAAAGACTTGCGTGTTAAGTTATGTCCTTGTGTGTGTGTGCTCATCAAGCTGTCGAAGCTGTCGAGGCTGTCGAGGCGTCGGCTGCAAGCAAAACTCCTCTCGCTGAAGAAACGGCTGCGTGCCTCAAGACTGAGGCACCGTGAGTTCCGACGCTTGCGCTTGCCGAAGTCACTTGTCATGGAATCCAAATTCAGAAAGTAGTCCCGCGTGAGCTGAGCGACTGCCAAAATTGCCGTGAAGGCATGCCTCAAGGCACGGGCTTCGTGGCCTAATGCGATAGCTAGCGAATGCTAGTAGCATGAAGCATGGATGGATGTTTCCGCTGCAGTGTGAAAAAAAGAAGGTGTCCGCTGCGTGAGAGCAAACAATAGCAGACATATATCTTCCATACTCTGTATTTTGGCCTTATAAGTTTTGGCAGGGGCTAAACATACAGGTCAAACAGATAAATTTTACCCAATATTCCGGATGTGGTAATGTCATATAGTGCGCTGATTGTTTTTGGAACAATAACCATTTTTAAGATTTGAAACGCTGTGCTTTGTGGCTTTTCACCATACAGGAAAAAGCTGAAGGCATTGCGTGGCGTTTGGCAACCATTCTTGGCAATGACTGCCGGGAGTCAAAGCAGTTATCTAGCAAACGGTTGGGTTGGGAAAGCACCATGTGCAGCTTTTTTTCGCGAATTTCAGGAATCCCGTTTTTCGACCTATTTCGCGACAGCGCAACCTCGAACCGTTTCATGGGTTCACCCCCCCCCCCTCATAACTGGCAACTCCTTACTGTCGACCTCCATGTCCGCAGCGGATTCGCAGAAGACTTTCTCTTTGAGCAGGCCTGAGCTTGCTTCGACTGCCTTCTGTGCCCTCTCAGCCTGCTCATTCAGCACGATCATTTCTTGTAGAAGCTGCCTTAATGACTCCTTCGCCATGTCGATGCGCTTCTGCAGGCCAATCTTTTGATCAGCAATGTGCTTGAGCTTGCCAGCTGCGCTTTGCCAGCTCTGGCTGGCCTGGCTTGCAGCTTGGGAGGGCGTCACCTCCTGGCTGGCCTTGAGGCCCTTCAGGTAGGCTTTGACCTCCTCCGGCAGGGCGGCTTCATGCTTCTGGCACAGGTCGGTGAGATCGTCCACCTCTTCCTTGACCTGTGCCTTGGGTGGCTTGTACCCTGCCTCCTTGAGGTTCTTTTGCACCTCTTCAGGCACACTGTCCCACGCCACTCCAAGGGCTTGCAGGACCTTGTTCGGCAGTGGTGCTTTCGGAGTCTTGGGCTTCTTTGGTGGCTGCCAGTAAGCGGCCTCAGCGACCGTAGGCCATTGTGGCTTCCACTGGCTCCAGTTCTGTCTCGCCTTGCGAATGCTGTTTGCCCAGGGTGTTCTGCATTTCTTGCAGAGCATGTGCGGCTGAGCCTTGTCCGCCCAAATCCATCCTGTGCAGCTTTTGCCACTGCAACAGATGTACTCGCGGGGGGCCATGGCTAAGAGGAAGGCACCTCTGGGCAAACTGTCCTAGGCTGGCTACCAGGCTACGAAGGCTGAGACCTCCGAAACTTCCCTCAGGCTACTCCTTGGGCCGAAAACTTGAGCCAAATGGAATGGAGTTCGAACCTGGGTTCAACCTGGGTTCGAACTAATTGAAGGGTGTAAGTTGTTCTGGGGTTCTCTGAACCTGGGTTTAAACCTGAATCCAAGTTCAACTTAGGTTGAACCCGGGTTGAACCTGGGTTGAACCTGGGTTGAAACCTGAGGAGCTCTTTGCCAGGAGGTTTCATTCCTCTCATGAGGTACAGCCTCTGGTAGCATCCCAAAGAGGATGGTAGCCTAGGAGGAGGTTTTTCCTCCCCTGTACTTTAGGGCCAAGAGGGCCATCAGTAGTGCCAGCACAGAGGCACGGTTTTCACAACCCAAACACCAAGACGGTGGATCGCATTTGTTCGCTCAACTCGGAAAAAAAATTGAACCTGGGTTGAACATGGATGCAGAGACTCCTGAGAGGAGAGGTTAGCCGCGCAGCTAACAAACATGCCTGTGCGGTCCTGTTGGACCTGCAGACTTTCTATGACAGTGTTAATTGGACCAAAGTGGAGGAGCGGATAGTGGCGACCGGCTTCCCGCCAGCTATAGCCCTCCTGGTCATGCAAGTCTACCGGGGAACGAGATATCTCGTGGCAGAGGATCTCCTTTCGGAGGGGATCCTCCCCGCGAGGGGCATCCTCGCAGGGTGCCCTTTCGCGACAATGATGGCGAGGGTGTACCTCCAACCAATAATGCAAGAAGCCGCTCAGCTCCGAAGTATCACTGCCTTAGACACCTGGGTAGATGATATCGGAGCGGATTTCGAAGCAAGATATCCTGAGCAGGCGGCATTTGCGGTCTATGAAGGTTACAAAACCCTTCGCCGGCTTTTGGAAGGTAGCGACCTCCGTCTGTCCCTCAAGAAAACCGGCTTCCTGTGCACCGCCGCGGAAGCCAGAAGGGAACTACAGAAGCTGCGCAAAGACGGGGACCCAGCTATCTGCGATAGTATGAAAGACTTAGGCCTGGACTGTGCCCTAGGTCGGGTCCGAAGGGTCAAGGTGCAAAGGGCCCGGAGGCACAAAGCGGGCAAAAGACAAAGAAGCTAAAACAGCTGAAAGTCCCGAGTGTGCCGGCCAAGGTCCGCTTCTTCCGGGAGGGGTTGCCTCCGCCCTTACTTGGGGCCACCAAGCCCAGGGCATGCCACCCACCCGGCGACAAAAGCTCCGTTCCAGCTTAAGAAGCGCTGGGTAGGAGGAAAGGAAGATCTGCTGGAGAGAACCTGGGGCCTCACCGTCCAAAGGCTGGAAGAGGTCAGCAGCAAGTGGCAAATGGTCAGGGGCCCTTTGGCAGCCACGGTTGCGTACCTGCTTGACATGGGTTGGCAGCCTAGAGGTAGTGATGAATGGTTAGACACCCACGGCACCAAGCACACCATACACACCCCACAGCAGGAGTGTCGTGTCTTAGACCTCCTCCAGCAAACCTACCAGAAGGAGGTGTACCACCGCATCGCCACTGGTCTTGCTGCCCCTGAGCTTCAGGAGGGAGTCGACTGGACGGTAGGGAGGAAACTGCTGGGGGAATTTAAGAAAGAAGGGCGAACCACGACAGCAGCTGCCCTGAGGTGTGTTTGGCAGGGTGCCTTGGTGTGCAGCCAAAACTCTGCTGTCAAAGTGTGCCCCCGATGCCACCAGCAAGCGGACTGGGAGCATGTGCTCTTGGATTGTGCCTGGTGGGAAGCCCAGAACTGGGAGTTGCCAGCATGGTTCCAAGAAGGCAGGGCCCAAGGCCCGAGATCGCTGTGGACCAGGGGCCTCCCGCCCAAACCCGAATGGGAGGTACAACCTCCGCAGGAGGACAATCCCATCTTTATGGGTATATGGGCTGACAAAGAGCCCCTCAGCTACCCGGAGCTTGTGTATGGCACAGATGCTAGTGGTGGCCCCTACACGGCGGACCCGAGACTCCGGCAGGTGGCATACGCAGTGGTAGCCTGCAAGAAACAGGGCCAAGAATACGTCCAGGTAGGAGCAATCGTAGGCCAAGTCCCTGGACCACAGACGGTTTTTCGGGGGGAGCTGTATGCCGTTTTGCAGCTGGCCCGTTATACCGAAGGCCCTATTGACACGACACTAGACTGCCTTGGTGTCCCGAAACGAGTCCGCAGCCCAAAGCCGGGCAAGACCCACGGTGACATCTGGTGGGAGCTACAAACCACAGATGTCAACCGCCTCAAAATGAAATGGGTTCCGTCCCATGTTTCAGAGGAGGAGTTCCTCCGGAAGGTGGGCGCGGAAAACTCGTGGAGACAGCAGGTCAATGACCTGGCGGACAAGCTGTGTGGGGAAAAAGCGGCCGAGCTGGCCCACCCTGATGTCCGGGCAGCCAGTCAGTACCAGGACCATTGCAGCAAAAAAGCACAAGAATTCCTGGCGAGCAGGGCGGAAAAGATCCTTACTGCCATTGGGGAAATCAGCACCCAGTGTACAAGGTCTTCCTGCAGGAAAAGCAGGCTCGCAAGAGCAACGAGGCCACCTCCAGGCCCTGCAAAAAGCGCATTGGCTCCAACATTGGGAGAGGCCACATCACCACCCAACAGGAATGGTTCCAGGAGCTGGTCCGGACCAAACCTGTGCATGCGTGGGAATGGGAAGGTCTCAACCTCCGGTGTGCTCAGTGTCAACTTAAACTCCTGCA